TTTAAAACTAAAAGAGCTTTACAAAAAGGTAACACAATTCAAGATGTTTGGAGTTTTATTTTAGTTATTCATTTACATTTTTTGTCTAAGAGATGCTGATTTGAAACCGTTGTTACATACAGTTACGGCATTTCCTGTGTCTGCCGGAGAGAGGGGAGTTTGTCCCAAAGCTTGCCGCTGTATTTACTCCCTCCATCTGACAGGAGGGAGCCTCATTGAGCTGCGAGTGTCACTCCACGGAGTTCACTCCGTCACGGAGGGGGAGTGTGTAGGGGTAGGGTTTGGGCGTGGTTTGGGATTGGGCCTTAGTGTACTAATGGCGCATTTCCACTGCAGGGCCTCGCACGGCTTAGTACGGTATAGTTAGGCCTTGGTAGGCCAGGCTCACTTTATGCTGCATTTCCATTACAGTTTAGGAACTGGGGTAGTAACTATAGTAACGCAGTGTAGGTGGAGCCGTGACGTCATCTTCAATGCGAAACACAAAACCAACATCAGCCGTTAGCTGTTAGCCCTCAGAGCTCACAGCTCCTCATATCTGTTCAAAACTAGACAAAAGTTAAACAAGTACAAACCACAGACTGTCTGTGTCATGGCGAATATAGTCGCTGGTTTATTTATGTCTGTACGCCGTTGTTGTGAGTGTGGACGGTCGGAGCATATACAACGTTAGCTTAGCCGATCTCCATTCAGAAAACACGCATTTTAAAAGGTTTTTCGCCTGCCGTCTGTCTGCAGACTTGTTAAAGCATTAATTCATGGTTTTTACTAACCGGTATCAGTATGTTGTTACTTCGGCATCATTTTTAAACGTGTATTACAATTAAATCACGGTAAAATATGTTCATTTTGTTGTAGTTGCCAGCGATTTTCTCACTAGTTTAGCATACTCAGCCTGGTTGTTGGCCCGGAAAGAACCTCATTTTTGGAGAGCCAGAAAACTGTGAAAAAGTACCCGCTAGCCGGAACTACGCCTAGTGGAAACGCAACCAAAAACGGCACGCTTAAACCACGCTCCGCGCTGTAGTGGAAATGCGCCATATCTGGCCTCTGTGCCAACATGGTAACAACATGGCCACCCTCCGGCCAGACCTCCTATTTTGCCTCAACACTTATCCAGTTGACAGTTGATACATTTGGTGTACTAAGCCATACAGCCTTACAACTTACTTGGAACCCAGAAAAGTTAAAAGGTAATTCAAATAAACCACACCTTCACGAAGTGCAAAATTAAAGTAAGTGATGAACACATTAATGCACCAATAATTTATACATTAAAAAATAAATAATTAATATTCTTTTATTTTTTTACTTGTAGTACTGATACCGTCCACTAGACTCCTAGTTACATCGCGAGCTGCGTACATGATTTCGTTCGGCAGCCAAATACTGCAAAATAATTAGTGACACGTTTGTGTGTATTGTGTTTGTTTACCGGGGAAACACTCACAAGAAACACCGGCTGTTGTTATGCCTGCTGTGACGTTAAGTTACCGCTTGTAATTATGCCTTTACAAGCTTAAAAGTTCTATTTATCATCTGAATTTGGCGAAACAAGTTTAATATTCTAAAACCCAAGACTTTGTTTATTAGAAATCAGATGAAAACAAACTGTCACGGACTCTGCCGTGTTATCTATGATTACTATGCGCTTTTCATTCATAATTTCAGCGGGAGGGAGGGGGAGCGGCGCTGAGGAACAGCAGAGTGCGGGTTGACAGGTGTCTGTGTTGACATTCCCCTTATTGTGGAATAAGGGGAATGCAGAGACAGGCTACAAGTGTCTTAGGTTCAAGTTAGACAACTAATGTCTGGGTTAGTGTTCATGACTTCATGTTTATGTCATCTTTATGGTTAATCTCAATGCACACACATTTTCCGTGCTTTCCAATAGTTTAAAATAGTTTTATTCCACTGTTAAATAAACTGTTCAATACAAACATGCCACTTGTAAAAATTAAATAACATTTCTGTGAACTGATATTTGTTTAGTGAGCTTATTAGAGGATGTTCCCTGAAAGATTGTAAAATGTCAATGAAGATGTCAGATTTAGTCATTTGTTAATAATTACATACAATACATGGACTTTGTGTGTGTGTGTGTGTGTGTTCCAAGTGAATCTGCGGCCCCTGGTGGCCAGCAGGCACACACACTTATGGCGCATTTCCACCACACGGTCGGCCTCGCTCGGTACTGCTAGGCCGCGTTGGGCCTTGTTAGGGCCGGCTCACTTCATGCTGCGCTTCCATTACAGTTTAGGAACTGGGGTAGTTACTATAGTAACGCAGTGTAGGCGGAGCCGTGACGTCATCTTCAATGAGAACCCCAGAAAAACAACACAGCCGTTAGCTGTTAGCCCTCAGAGCTCACAGCTCCTTATATATGTTCAGAAACTAGACAAAAGTTAAACAAGTACACACCACAGACTGCCTGTGTCATGGCGAGTACAGTCGCTGCTTTATTTATGTCTGTATAGGCCGTTGTTGTGAGTGTGGACGGTCGGAGCATATATTGAGTTAGCTTAGCCAATCTCCATCTAGAAAACACGCATTTTAAAAGGTTTTTCACCTGCCGTCTGTCTGCAAACTTGCCAAAGCATTAATTCATGGTTTTTACTAACCGGTATCAGTATGTTGTTACTTCGGCATCATTTTGAAACGTGTATTACAATTAAATCACGGTCAAATATGTTCATCTTGTTGTAGTTGTAGCCTCCTTGCCAGCGATTCTCTCTCTAGTTTAGCATACTCAGCCCGACTCAGCCCTGTTTGTTGGCCCCGATAGAACCACGATTTTGTCGGGCCAGAAAAGAGGTGAAAAAGTACCCCCGGGCCGGAACTAGGCCTAGTGGAAGCGCAACCAAAAACGGGCCCGGCACGACACGGCACGCTTAAACCGCGCTCCGCGCCATGGTGGAAATGCCCCAATAGACACCAAAGTGGGCTTGAGCCCCTGCCCTTTTCTTCCTCCAGAGAAAGTGCCTTTTTTTCCCCTTTTTTTTTTTTTAATAAATGAATATCTAGCCTACTGCTGTTTGCGCACAGTTTCCCTTTCCAAAAATATATTGATTGAATACAAAATAAAAATATCAGGTCGGGAGATTAGACTGTGAAATTCCGCTCTCTCTACCCTCCCTCCCTCACTCCACGTCTCGCGCACAGCGGTGCGGACATCCGCAGTCACTTCAGACAGACAGGTAGCAGCACCTCCCACTTTACTGTCCCATGTTATGCCGGCTTTTCTTGGCTTGTTTGAAGCTGAGTGGTGATGAACAAATTACTAAACTGCCAGTGCCTCGAGTTTACAGCTAATTAGCCAAAAGACAATAACAAATATAGTTAACTAAGGTAGGCTACTAGCTAATGGATAAGTTAGCTCAAGGTTTAGCTAAGGCAATTTATCATGGGCATACAGGCTAATGTACTGTACTTAAGGGGAGACACTTAAAGTGAATACAGTAAAATGTGTATCTAATTACGTCATCACAATCGCCACATTGATATGCAAATTAGGCGTTAACTAGTACACTAGTAATAAACTACTATCTTATCTCTTATCTTAATTAAAATGCGCTAATTTGCATGCAGTTACCAAGGCATTGCAGGTTAAAAGGATAAAACAAAAAACAAACAAAAAAACATATCACCTCACAACTTCCCCAGATAGTTGATAGTCAAGTCAGTATTTTCTCCTGAAATGTTATGTTTAAATTCAGATTAGCTTTAAATCTATAGATGAATTCAGACATGGTAGTAAAACGAACACCATTTATATGTGTTTTTTGGAACTTTTCTTTCCATTAGAGTGAAAGAAAACATGGAAGCAAAACAGACCAAAATAACAAAATGTACAAGTACATGAAAAAACGATCTTTTTGCCTGTAATGTCCTTAAACAGTAACTTCATCATTTTGATTGTTAGCTGCTCATTTAATTCATTGTACTAGTTTGTTGTTTGCTCTTGTGCGTAGTGAATACTAAAGAAGACCATTGTCTCTGTGTTAACTGATTATTTTGTAGAAATCTTTTGAGTATTAAACAATTGCGTGAGTGTGAGGGTATTAAAATTAATTGGTCAGTAAGTCAGAGATGTGCAACTATATTTAACTTTTTGTTTTAAAACATTTTTTTATAAATGATTATGGGAAGTGCCCTTTCTCCCACTTGAGCTCCCGCCCCCCAAAATGTCTGTGCACGTCCCTGGTGGCCAGTACATACATTATGTGGCATCCACCACCATCCAAGTTGCCCATCCCTGCTGTAGATCCATGTGATCTTCTGTCAAATAGCATACAGCAACACGTGACGCAGAAACACTCCAGGGTGGCTGTTAGGGGGAAAGCAATCAACACATCCACATGATGGCAGTGTGAGTCTGCGTCTGTGTATGCGTTCCCGCGTGTGCGTGAATCTGCGTGGGAGTTCCTTGTTTCGCCATTCCGGGGTGTTTCCAGCTGGCGGGGAGAGGCGTCCTGGAAAGGCAGAGCCTGCGCGTCTCTCCTCACTCCAAGGCGTCTCTTTGCCCTCTTAATCCCCCCAGAGTCTCCTCCACCACTACACATTACCCAACGTGATGACACACAAATAACACATTTCGGATCCAAGCATGCCAACACAGCAGCTTGGTACCCCGCCTATTTGTTTAAGTTTGCATCCCTGTAGCACCAGTGTGTATCATTAGCACGTTTTTTTTATTTGAGTCCATCCCTTTTTTCTTATTCTAGCACCATAATAAAAGAAGCCTATGCATATGCTTTTGACCCTATTTAGGGGAAGGAAGGGGGAAAGGGGGGGTATCCACACCATAATCGGGGTCTTCCCTCGTTATTCTATTATAATTCACCCCCTCACCAAGGCATTACCCCATTTTCTAACGAGGGGGGATGTCTCCTCCTCTATGTATAGCCAGAGCTATTGTGCGACACCCTGTGCTGCTGCATACATGCGAGCTCCATTTACGCGCTCCACTCCTAGCGGTGGTTTCGCGTTATTGAATAATAACACCCTACAGAGGCACACAACCGAGAGTGATAGAGAGAGGGAAAGGCAGGGAAGGGAGAGAGTGGAGATGAGCGTCTTGTTCCAATGAAACATCAAGAAGTGTGACAATGACAGCGAAAGCCAGACATAAAGGTAAATACGCGTAAACTGCTATATTTGGTGTTGTGGTGCTGCTGTGGATGTGGATTGTGTCACGGGATGATGTTGCAATGTAAGCAGCGATGTAAGGGGAGAGGAGGATGCTGGGACTTGTGACTCGGAGGCTGAATTATGTTTTGTAAGCTTTCTGTCTTGGTGTTAATTGACTGTAAATGCGCGTCTTTGTGGTGATCAAAGGTGGTATTAGCGATGTAGTTCTATTCTCGCCAAATCTTGAGTCAGGTCATCGATAGGTTGACACGGCAGGTAGGCTGGTAACTTTGCCAGGCCGAGTGCGCACCTTCAAACCCGCGAGTTTGGTTTTAATCCTCCAGGCCTATTAGATGAAATCTACCTGATGTGACGTTTAAAAACCACGAGTGCTCATGGTGGATTTAAGAGTCGACGTTTTCTCTGTAAGGCCTGAATGTCAGCGGGTGATTTATGCTTCTCCCGTGCGTACCGCTCCTCCACGAAAAAGGTCTCCCTGGCTTCCCCCTCTCGCTTCCCTGGGTGTCAAATGAGAGACACAATGTGAGTGTAGGGATGCTGCGTATACCCGAGCACATACAGCCGGATGACGACCATGCCTACTGCTCTAATGGTGTTATTGCCTCACCGGATCATGGAATATTTAATGTGTATATGAGAGGGTCTGTTTCAGGCGTTTTACGCGTGGGCGGCTATAGCCTATATGGGGGGAGGCGAGGAGGGGGCTCCGCTCGGGTTATGATCCGCGGAGCTTGCACAGATTGCCGTGCTTATCGGGTCACAACAAGGCACACGCACACTGGCCACAGTCACATGCGACGGTGCATGTCTCCCCCACTGGCTCCCCCCTTAATAAACTCTCAAGGTCTCTCTGCCGGAAGAAGCGGAGCTGACAGTTGGATGCGTCTCTCGGGCATGCCCCGGTATTCCGTGCGTGCGTCGTGCCTTGGAAGGGGGTGGGGGAGGGCTGGGGGGCAAGCGGGGGCTCTTGCAGTTTTTGCACGTATACGACTTCAGGACTGCATGTGCTCGCGCCTATAGCCAGTGTGTGTTAAACTGCATGTATGGTATGGCAGGGCGGTGCTACGAAATCTGGATTCCCTTAAATTAACTGACTGCGATTCAATTAACACTCCCCCCCCATGCATCCACTTGTTATCTGCCTTACCCCACAACTCCGTAGCTTCCCCCTCATATATATTTTCATTTATATATACAGTCTATTATTTGTACTAATCTTTATTTCTGTGTGCATGTGTGTTGTAATGCAGCTAGGCCACCGAAGCTCAGCTGCATCAACCCTGGAACAAACTAAACAGCCTATATCCTCATGCATCATCCATCACACAGACACACACACATAAATGCACCTTCTGTAACAAACACGCAGCCAGACAACACAGCCATTCATCAGTCAGGTGGGGATGATTAAGTGCGAGCTGGAGAGAGATGGGGGGCATCAGTCAACGAGACGTCACTCGTGGCGGATGGACTGTGCCCGGTAGTTCCCCCACCTTATGGATTTTTAGTGATATTCAGCGGAGAGGAGAGCAAAGCGATGGAGCCAAAGGACAGGCGAGAGGAATGGACAGAGAGTGTGGGGGCGAGGTGAGGGAGAGAGGCAAGGAAGGAGAGAATGTGACAAGGCCACGGAGGAGGTAAAGTAGCCAGAGCGAGAGAAAGAGGGGGATGGAGGGATGGAGGATGAGACAGAGGGGGAGAAAAAAGGAGAAGAGGGAGCAAAAGAAGAAACAATAGAGTGTTTCACACTGCTGAGTGGCAGGGCAGCATCCTCTGACTCAACCAATGGATTTCTAACACCCCATGTAAACCTGTCGGTGTGTGTGAAAAACAAGCAGCCCAAATGTTAGAATGTGACTCTTAGATATCAGTTTTGTTCAATAACTTTTATTAAAGTTGTCTCCAACAAATGTCATTATTCACAGTAGGGCAGGCTAGAGCAGGACAGTATATTTTGAGAGATATTGTAGAAAAAAGAAATGGAAAAAATTACCCGGTACCAAAAGTGTAGTAAAAAGAAAACACATGGCATTACAAAGCGCATCAAGTTTACCTGCTGTGGAAATTGGCAGTGTTATGTAAGAGTGGAGAATAAGAGCACTTTATCGTTGTAAATTGAATACCTGAGCAAGCAATTTGGGGAGGTCTCTTTTGGTTTTAGAAGGACATCAAATAATACAGTGATACACGCTTGCTACAAACATGTAGGACAAGTGTGAAATACCTTTCAATATTTTGCAACCCAATTGCTCTTTCTGTCGAACGATGTGAATCATAACCGTTATCATGGCTGTGTTTCATTTAGCCCTGATAATGTGCCTGCTCACTCACTGACATTGCCCACTGGTTCACCTAAATGTAAGCTAGTAGTGTAAATTAGCTATCATTTTCCTTCCATGAAAAGTCGAGCTTTGTAGTGTAAGAAAGACAATGATAGCAATGATAATAGAGTAAAATCAGCACATTAAAATCATTATCCAACACACAATTTATCGCAGTTTATTACAGTTCATGATGACTGTAATGGCTCTCAAATGAGTCTTGAGTTAACATAAATGCGCATACAAACGAGTCCTAACTGCAAGTATTTACTTTCTGTTACCAAATTGGACATGGTGTTAGTCTGTTAAAAACAAGGCACACCTAATCCACAAGAGTGGAGTATCTTTGCTGATTTGTCTTCATCTCTTTGAGTATTCCAGAGAGGATAAAACTAACACATTTGGAATCCAGCCTCTGACTTGTCACTTTTATGATACTATCTGTCCCATGGTTAATTAGCATTCTGTGTGTGCTGCCAAATGTTTTGTCATATATTGGATAGTGTGCCAATGCACTAAAGCGCCTGAGAAAACAATTAAGAGAGAATTTGATCCTTCCCGGAATCTTGTTCACCTAGTCTGTGGGCTCCTGCAGACTTTTGTCAACTAAATAGCGTTGCAACTGTGCAAGATGCAAAAACATACAGATACAAAACTTTACAGTTGGTAGTTTAAATCAAAATGAAGTTCAAATTTGAAGATGGTCATGGTCCGTGAAGGGATCATTGCTTCCCTCTGTCTGCTCCCTTTACGCATTTGGCCCAATTTGGTGTCACAGAACTGTAGAGATGTGTATTCGGAAAAAAGTTGAAGGCTGTGTTCAGGTTAGGTTGATTAGATGTAAGATGTGTGTTGGGTTTAGTCCAGGTATGAGACTCGGAAGTATGGGGGAAGAAGTGTGGAAGGGGTCATTACCACCGCCCTCACTTGATGCCCATTGAATCATATCTTCAATCATATCCTCAGACAGCAATCTGGATTTAATTGTGGGCCATATACAGAAAGATATTAGTCACAGTCCAATGCACAGTTTTTGATTAGTTAAGCTGCAGAAGATCTGTGTTGCTAGACATAGAAAACTTATTTTTTATAAAGGTAATTACTTGACACAACTTCTGAAATGGACCAATATGCATAATGAGTATTTTTGGTACTTTAAGTCTACTTTTACTTCAGTCACATTTTGATGCAGGACTTTTACTTGTAACAAAGTATTCCTTCACTTTGTAACTTCTACTTTTACTCAAGTACAAGATCTCAGTACTTCTCCCACTTCTGCCTTTAACCTCTATTACAGTGCATGGCCTAAGCAAGCAAGTAAAATATTACTATGTTGTGTGTAAACCTCTTAATAAGTTACAATGGAGAAATTGGTCATATTGGTTTCCCCTCATGGCAATAAGGCTCACTTAATGCGGGATGTACATCTAATATCAGGATGGTACAAACAAAATAAATGGTTAAATGTTGGTTATCGTGAAAAGAGACAAAGACAATTTCACTAACTTTGGTGGACACCTGGTGTTTAAAGTTGGATGGAAAATGTGCATACAGTGCAACTTACTAAAAATATGCTCAGACAATAGTTTACTAATATATTGTAAAAAATAACTGTGAGCCATTTTAAAACACTGACCTTAGTTTGGCCTTTCAGACATTATTAATATCTTGTTGACTCCACAGGCATAGCCAGCTGGCCTCTCATTGAGAAAAAACCCATTCCGAGATACAATGTGCAAAGGCAGAATTGATACAGTAGGTTGTAACTTTCTAAACATATCAATGAACGTGTGAAGAGTACTCACGAAGCTGAGTGGAGCCATATAAAATATGCACACACCCCCCCCCCCCCCACACACACACACACACACACACACACACACACACACACACACACACACACACACACACACACACACACACACACACACACACACACACAAACACATGCATACACATCACCTCTGGCAATGCTCGGGGCACACTGGGCATATTTCCTTTTAGTGTAACATGCTGTCCCATTCCCTCACACTTCCCTCGAGTACCTTGTGAGCTTTGGTGTGTGTGCGTTGGATTTTGGTATTCTCCTTGTGAGACAGGGTTTCCACCTTGACAGGTCTGTGTGCCCTGTGGGGAGGGTGGCAGGGCAAGGGCTATTTATAAAGTAGGTACTCCAGAGAGATCGAGAGAGGAAGAGGGAGAGAGAAAGGGATTGTCTAATGAGGACAGGCTGTTAGGGGATGGGCTGTTTTTTCTGTTCATGTGTGTGTGTGTGTGTGTGTGCACAGATGGTCCTTCATGTGTGTACTGTGCATTAATTGAACAACTTCAAACGCATCCTTCGTTGTCCCCCCACCAGCACCTTCAAAGACCCATGGATCTATGTTAGCGGATCTGGGTCAAAGATGGTAGATAAACAGAGACTCACACCACACAGACACACACACACACACACACAAACTTTATGCATGTGAACAGTCATATTTCTCCTTTCTCATACACCCCAATGTTTACTCTCCGTCTTCTCATTGGCTGCACTCGTTCGTAAACCCCTCAGTTTATCCCTCCTTCATTTGTTCATATGTTCATAGAGAGACAGGCAGTGGGATCAAGTGATAAGGGGAGATGTGTGTGTCAGAATACCTTTATTCGTCCCACAGA